TGCATCTATGTCTAAGCCTTGTGTTCCAAACTGTCCAGAAAGATTCACCAAAGCAATCCAAGCCCTTAAGAAAAATAAGGATCTACATGTCACTAAAGCAGATAAAGCCAACACAGTAGTGATTTTAAACAAAGATGACTATATTTTTAAAATGAATGACCTTTTATGTGATGCTGTAACATATTCTAAACTCATAAATAATCCTCTCAACACTGTCAACACCCAGTTCAACAAAAAACTGAAGTCTCTATTGAGAGGCAAAGCTACTCTCATTAAACATCTAACTTCAACGTCCCCTCCACTGCCATACATGTACGGTGTAATCAAGACTCACAAGCCAAATAACCCAGCAAGACCCATCATTAGCTCAGTTGGGTCAATCTCTTATAAACTATCTAAATGGTTAGTTTCTTTACTAAATCCCCTAGTTGGCAACATTTCTAACTAATATTAAGAATAATATGGATCTGGTTGATAAACTCAGTAACTTACACATTAATTATGATTTTAAACTGGTCAGTTTTGATGTAACATCACTCTTTACAAAGGTCCCAGTTGATGATTTACTGGAGTTCCTCATAGATTCCCTGGATATAATTCATTGCCCGTCTCGAAAGACGTCTTCATCGAACTCGTCAAACTTTGTATTAAGAATTGTAAATTTGAATTCAGTGGAGAATATTATGCTCAAAAATTTGGTATGGCAATTGGTAATCCACTCTCACCTGTATTAAGCAACCTATATATGGAATTCTTTGAAAAGAAACTATTAAGTAATATTTTACCACCTTCAGCAGTCTGGTTTAGATATGTTGATGATGTATTATGTCTCTGGCCATGTAATGAGGACCTAAAAGCTTTCCTGCCACAACTTAACAACTTAGCTCCCTCGATCAAATTCACTGGAATTAGAGCATGACTGTAAATTGCCATTCCTAGACTGTCTGATCCACAGAATAGGTAACACTTTTAAGTTCAGTATTTATAGGAAACCTACTAATGTGTGTTCATGCTTTCATTATTATTCTGCCCGCCATAATAGAGTCAAACAGTCGGTATTTTCATTAATGTTTTTACATGCTTTGAGAATTTGCAGTCCGGAATTCATTGATGAGGAATATAAATATATCTATAATATTGGCTTGAACCTTAAGTACCCTAGATCTTTTATAGACAAATGCCTTAACGTTACTAAGAAATCTTTTTATAGAACCGATCCCAAGCCCACCCATGACCATAAGAATCTCTTAGTATTACCATTTCACAAAAATTTCTCTCAAATTCCTTTACAACTAAAAACCTGGAACATTAATGTGGCATTTAAAAACTCATGCACTGTAAAACAAATGTAATCAAGAACTCCCCTAACAATGCAGGCAGCTGCATTTACAAGGTTCCTTGCAAGGAATGTAATATGTTCAACTTAGGCCAGTCAGGTAAAGATCTTGAACAACAACGACGGCCAAACACCAACTGAGAGCGCTACGGCATGTATGCTGTGCACCACGAGGCGGCCCAGCCCATGCCATGCTGTCGTACGGGACGGAAACGGTTCGGTACGAGAAAATACATACGGAATTTGAAACATTTTTGGTACGACTGCAGCAGTCGTATGTCGAGTAGGTCGTAAGTCGAGGAGTACCTGTATTCCCCGACAGAGATAGTGCCACTGCGATTGCAGGTTACCCATTTCAGGGAGGAGAAGCTGTGAGTCAATTTTATACACTTTATACCTAACTTGAGCAAAGCTGGGCAATTTTGCTAGATTGTATATAATTCATTATTAACTGCTTGTTTCATGAGTTTTGTCAACCATGAATGAACACTTGCATAACACAATATCTGTGGATATGTTACTAAAATTAAGTAGCGTGGGGCTCAGGGCCCCCATACGTCAGATTATTAGGGAAATAAAAAGTCATAGTTACACGTAAAAAATATTGGAAAATTTAAAGTACAAACTGTAGAGGATAATAGCTAGTCATTGAAGGCTAAATGAAACTTAGATCAATCAATGATAAAATTAAATTCATTTTGTTAAATATTTTCACCTGCCAAAGTAAACCAGAGATTGGATCAGTGACATTCTAGATCCTTATGCAAGGTGACTTGGTAGATTGTCCTCACAATAATGGGAAGTGAAATTATTTATGTCAGCATGACACAAGAACACTGACTATGCTCAATTCCGTCACTGAAAACTGGTAAACAAGATTTCAGGGATTTTTTTAAGTAATAATGATAATATCCTTTAATGGAGCCTTGTATCCTTTAATGGAGCCTTGTCTCCTTTAATGGAGCCTTGTCTCCTTTAATGGAGCCTTGTCTCCTTTAATGGAGCCTTGTCTCCTTTAATGGAGCCTTGTCTCCTTTAATGGAGCCTTGTAGCCTGGTATCCTTTATTGGAGCCTGGTATCATTTATTGTAGGCTTGTATCATTTATTGGAGCCTTGTATCATTTATTTGAGCCTTGTATCATTTATTTGAGCCTTGTATCATTTATTTGAGTCTTCTGTCCTGTATTGTAGGCTTGTATCCTTTATTGGAGCCTTGTATCATTTATTTGAGCCTTGTATCATTTATTGGAGCCTTCTGTCCTGTATTGTAGGCTTGTATTCTTTATTGAAGCCTGGTATCATTTATTGGAGCCTTCTGTCCTGTATTGTAGGCTTGTATCCTTTATTTGAGCCTTGTATCCTGGTATCCTTTATTGGAGCCTTGTATCCTTTATTGGAGCCTTGTATCATTTATTTGAGCCATGTATCATTTATTTGAGCCTTGTATCATTTATTGGAGTCTTCTGTCCTGTATTGTAGGCTTGTATCCTTTATTGGAGCCTTGTATCATTTATTTGAGCCTTGTATCATTTATTGGAGCCTTCTGTCCTGTATTGTAGGCTTGTATTCTTTATTGGAGCCTTGTATCATTTATTGGAGCCTTCTGTCCTGTATTGTAGGCTTGTATCCTTTATTTGAGCCTTGTATCCTGGTATCCTTTATTGGAGCCTTGTATCCTTTATTGGAGCCTTGTATCCTTTATTGGAGCCTTGTATCATTTATTTGAGCCTTGTATCATTTATTTGAGCCTTGTATCATTTATTGGAGTCTTCTGTCCTGTATTGTAGGCTTGTATCCTTTATTTGAGCCTTGTATCCTGGTATCCTTTATTGGAGCCTTGTATCCTTTATTGGAGCCTTGTATCATTTATTTGAGCCTTGTATCATTTATTTGAGCCTTGTATCATTTATTGGAGTCTTCTGTCCTGTATTGTAGGCTTGTATCCTTTATTGGAGCCTTGTATCCTTTATTGGAGCCTTGTATCATTTATTGGAGCCTTCTGTCCTGTATTGTAGGCTTGTATTCTTTATTGGAGCCTGGTATCATTTATTGGAGCCTTGTATCATTTATTTGAGCCTTGTATCATTTATTGGAGTCTTCTGTCCTGTATTGTAGGCTTGTATCCTTTATTGGAGCCTTGTATCATTTATTTGAGCCTTGTATCATTTATTGGAGCCTTTCTGTCCTGTATTGTGGCTTGTATTTTATTGGAGCCTGGTATCATTTATTGAGCCTTCTGTCCTGTATTGTAGGCTTGTATCCTTATTTGAGCCTTGTATCATTTATTTGAGCCTTGTATCATTTATTTGAGCCTTGTATCACGGTATTGGAGTCTTCTTGTCCTGTATTGCAGGCTTGCATCCTTTATTGGAGCCTTGTAATTACGAGGAGAGCCTTGTATCATTTATTGGAGCCTTCTGTCCTGTACAGGCTTGTATCCTTTATTTGAGCCCCTATCATTTATTGGAGCCTTGTATCAGCCTTATTGGAGCCTTCATTCTTGTATTGTAGGCTTGTATCCTTTATTTGAGCCTTGCATCATTTATTGGAGCCTTTCTGTCCTGTATTGTGGTGGCTTGTATCCTTTATTGGAGCCTTGTATCACGACATTGTTTCCCCTTCTGGTCCTATATTGTAGGCTTGTATCATTTATTTGAGCCTTGTATCATTTATTGGAGCCTTCTGTCCTGTATTGTAGGCTTGTATCCTTTATTTGAGCCTTGTATCATTTATTGGAGCCTTGTATCATTTATTGGAGCCTTCTGTCCTGTATTGTAGGCTTGTATCCTTTATTTGAGCCTTGTATCATTTATTGGAGCCTTCTGTCCTGTATTGTAGGCTTGTATCCTTTATTGGAGCCTTGTATCATTTATTGGAGCCTTCTGTCCTATATTGTAGGCTTGTATCCTTTATTGGAGCCTTGTATCATTTATTGGAGCCTTGTATCCTGTATCCTTTATTGGAGCCTTCTGTCCTATATTGTAGGCTTGTATCCGGTTTGAGCCTTGTATCATTTATTGGAGTTTCTGTCCTATATTGTAGGCTTGTATCCTTTATTTGAGCCTTGTATCATTTATTACTGTCCATATTGTAGGTTTAACTCTTTATTGGAGCCTTGTATCATTTATTGGAGCCTTCTGTCCTGTATTGTATCCTGGTATCCTTTATTGGAGCCTTCTGTCCTATATTGTAGGCTTGTATCCTTTATTTGAGCCTTGTATCATTTATTGGAGCCTTCTGTCCTATATTGTAGGCTTGTATCCTTTATTTGAGCCTTGTATCATTTATTGGAGCCTTCTGTCCTATATTGTAGGCTTGTATCCTTTATTGGAGCCTTGTATCATTTATTGGAGCCTTGTATCATTTATTGGAGCCTTCTGTCCTGTATTGTAGGCTTGTATCCTTTATTTGAGCCTTGTATCATTTATTGGAGCCTTCTGTCCTGTATTGTAGGCTTGTATCCTTTATTTGAGCCTTGTATCATTTATTGGAGCCTTCTGTCCTATATTGTAGGCTTGTATCCTTTATTGGAGCCTTGTATCATTTATTGGAGCCTTCTGTCCTGTATTGTAGGCTTGTATCCTTTATTGGAGCCTGATGACAGGCAAAAATATCAATATTAAATTTTCATTGCCCAAGATAATGTGATTATTTTCAATGCAGGTCAGAATGGGGAGAGGAGCCAAGTATATCACACGCCCATCTAGATGCCTCTCGTCCATCTGTTATTGTCACAGAAATGGGTCGAGCAAATGGCCTTACCATTGACTTTAAAGATAGTCGATTGTATTGGACAGATATCGACTATTATAAGATAGAGAGCAGTGATTTGAATGGTCTCAACAGAGAGGTAAGAAGACATGTGATTCTAGAGTGGATATGCATGACTTTCAAAAATTTTATCTGTGAAAGTAGCTTTTGGGTAAATGTTAGGAGAATGCAAAAATGGCCTGGGGCTTGGTGTCTACAGACCCCAAGATGCTTGTATACATGATGGCTTTACTGCACTAAACATCATGTCATACGGAAAATCTTGACCTACCTAATTTTAACGTTTATAAATATTAATTTTTTTTTTTTTTTTCAGCAAGCTCTTGCATTTCATCTGGTACAGTACAATGACATAAGTATAATATAGGCCAGTAAAAGTGCCAGGTACTGGATCATTTTGAAAGCCTTTTGCATGAGAATACTGTGTTAAAGTATTTTATTGAAATATAAATATTCTGTTTACTTTTCTTGTTGTTATTTTTATTAATTAATGCGAGTCCAAAATTTCCAGGTTATTGTTAAAGATTTGCCACAGCCATATGGTCTAACATTATATGAGGATTATGTTTATTGGGCTGATTGGAAGACTGGAACTATTGAACGTGCTAACAAGAGCAAAGGAGAAAACAGAACAAGAATACAGGTTTGTAAATGCAATTTTACTTAAGCTTGTAATTTTCTTTGAATTTAAACTTATGAAAGAATTGGTAGAAACAGGATATGATAATGAAATTGTTTTGAGGATGACAAAGAAGTTTACCAGCATTTTGGGCAAAGTTTCATAATTAAGTTATGATTTTATTGCTATTAGAATCATGTATGTTGTTTTACCAATTCATTGAACATTTATTTATTTATTTATTTATATAAGGGTGGTTCAATTATACATATATATATATATATATATATATATATATATATATATATATATATATATATATATATATATATATATATATATATATATATATATGTTTGTGTAATAAATGTATGTAGTAAGTACGTAATATTTTTCACTCAAATCCTAATGAAACACTACTGGAAAACATTCCTTTGTCGCAAAACAATTTTATAAATTTAAGAAAATAATTACAGTGTGTTTAATATATTACAGTACAGTACTCCCTCTTTATCGACGGGGGTTACGTTCTGTAAACGGCCGTCGATAAAGAAACCGTCGATACCGTGATGGTTACGTAATTTTTCTAACTATTATTAGCATATGTTGAATAAATGTACCTTTAAGCATTAATGCGTTTCCTTTACACATAACCTTAAATAATAGTGTATAAATAATAATATAATAAGTGGACAAAAATACTAGCAAACTTACGATTTCATTTATTGAAGTGAACATCGGTCCTTACAGTAAACAAAACAGTGTACAGTACAGTAAAAGTCCAAAAATCCGGATGCCCAAGGCAAATTGTTTACCATTTATTATTACAACACTTTACACTGAAACGCGGGTAGTTTCAACAAAAATATTGTATATTTCCATTCAAGTATTTATTCAAGTCAATTAGGAGGGAATATTATTGTAATACAACAGTTTTTTAACTAAACCATTCGAAAAGTGATTACGGTAACATCTTTTGAACGAAAGAAAGCGCAAGTCATTGTTTTCGTCACGGTTTTATCCCACTTTCCACTGTAATACGTACGTAATTTCAACAAAAATATTACATTTCCGTGAATGTATTATATCAAGCACAGTATGAATAGAATATCATTGTAATATAACAGAATTTTAACCGAAAACTATTAAAAAAACGAGTAACATCTCAAGAACATCGGAAGCTTAGGTAAAGTCTTTTGTTTTCGTCATGTATTTTATCCTATTTTACATTGAAATACATCACGTTTCAGCAAAACTACTATTTATTTCCGAGAATATATTCATTCAGGCGCAGTTTAGGTAAAATATACGTGTGATGTAATAATTTTTTAACTGAAAACGATTCGAAAAACACGTAGCCTCTAGCCCTGTTCAAGGAGAGGACTGGGAGAAGCTGTTTGGTGCTGCAGACGATGACAAGGAAAATGATTTTGATGGATTTTAATGAAAATATTCAGAAATATGGTATCGTAATATTTATTCAAGTCAATTAGGATATTATTGTAATACAATACAACAGTTTTTTAACTAAACCATTCGAAAAGTGATTACGGTAACATCTTTTGAACGAAAGAAAGCGCAAGTCATTGTTTTCGTCACGATTTGATCCCACTTTCCACTGTAATACGTACGTCATTTTAGCAAAAATATTACATTTCCGTGAATGTATTATATCAAGCACAGTATGAATAGAATATCATTGTAATATAACAGAATTTTAACCGAAAACTATTAAAAAACGAGTAACATCTCAAGAACATCGGAAGCTTAGGTAAAGTCTTTTGTTTTCGTCATGTATTTTATCCTATTTTACATTGAAATACGTCACGTTTCCACAAAACTACTATTTATCTCCGAGAATATATTCATTCAGGCGCAGTTTAGGTAAAATAGACGAGTGATGTAATAGTTTTTTAACTGAAAACGATTCGAAAAACACGTAGCCTCTAGCCCTGTTCAAGGAGAGGACTGGGAGAAGCTGTTTGGTGCCAAAATAAAAATCCGGCTAAATAATCCGTCGATAATCGAAACCGTCCATAAAAAATCCGTCGATAAAGAGGGAGTACTGTACAGTAAAAGTAATGAATAATGAGGAATGGATACAGTGTGACTGAGCACTTACCTTTAATGTAGTCAGCTGAATGCACATGGGGCCCCCATAATTTTCTAATTATACATGGAGACTACATTAACTGGAAACGTTTCGGTATAGAATATGCGTGTCATTTGAAAAAAAAAATGGTCACAATCATGTATGTCGTAAGTCGTACCTGTGTGTGTGTGTGTGTGTGTGTGTATATATATATATATATATATATATATATATATATATATATATATATATATATATATATATATATATATATATATATATATATATATATATATATATATATATATATGCAAGCAAATCACCGTAGGTGCCGGATGTAATATATATATATATATACATATAGTTATATATATATATATATATATATATATATATATATATATATATATATATATATATATATATATATATATATATATATATATATATATATATATATATATATATATATATATATATATATATATACATATATACATATATATATATATATATATATATATTGTACAAACTGCATCAAACTGCATATAGAGTACTGTACTTATAAACAAAGTTGATGCTGGCGTTCATGTTAGTGGTGGTAGAAAGGTGGTTGGTAGTGGAGGTTGAGATGGAGGATGGAGCCTTATTTTGAATTTACTTATTGTAGACTGTATGCTATACAGTACACTATTTACACAGCTCTGAAATACAGTTAATCACTGTCAGTCTTCTCTATCAGATCATTGATGGTTGTTTTTGTTTTTTGCAAATCATATTTCTCCATCAACACTGGCACACACACCTTTCTCGTGGTCTTCCGGAACTGCTAACTTGTCCTTCAAGCTAAACTCCTTCCTGGCCCTCATCTGGCATGCTTTTGACGTTGTCTTACCCTTGGAGGCCATGGTAACCAGTAAACAAATTCATAAATAGTCCACGGCAGTTAGGTGATGCACACACGTGGGCTATAGAAACGCAACTGGCTTGTAAACAAAGTGGCTGGGTTGCATTCGTGAGCAGCTAGACGACCATCAGGGTTTTTCATCCATACTGTACAGTATTTTTATTTTTACTTTCTCTTGCCTTTGGAAGCCATAGTAATCATTAAACAAAGTCACAAATAATCTACGAGAGATAAGTAATGCACAAACAAGGGCTCCAGAAGCACAACTGGCTTGTAAAAAGAGCGGCTGTTGGGTGGTGTTGTGCGCAGCAGATGGCCTTGTTGATTTTCCATTTGGAATTTTCTTGGTTAATCTGGATTTACTCCGGATTAAGGAATCCCCCACTGGAAACTCACTTAATTTGGACTGGATTCCCCCCAATTAGTTTGGATTAACCTGGTTTTACTGTAGTTATCATAAGGTCAAAAATATAATGGGAATAAACATTTCTACGTGCACCAGTGAGAGTTAGCAGGATGAGCTGGGGAAGTTATGTTATGATTATTTTTCATCTCGTAGTTTCAGACAGATAAACTTAACTTTCTTCACTTTTTTCTACTCATTACGTACACACACAATCCTACATATATCGTAAAAGAAATATAGGCAGTGACCTTTATATAATGGATCAATATATTCTCGTTCCATTTTACAATGTTAAAATTCTTTTTTATCATTTATCCGGGTAATGAGACGACTCTCAAAGCCAGGAAAAAAATCTCATTCCCGGAATTTTCCGGATTTTACCTGGTAACGGAAAAATTTTCTTGGAAGTTCCAGAAATTGCCCATTACATCATCTCTCGAAACCTGAAAAATATCCCTTATCCCTGGAATTTTCCGGGTATGGGAAAATTTTTATCAGAATTTCCAGAAAATGCGCCTGATTTTCATCTCTCACACCCGGAATAAACTCCCCCATCCCCGGAATTTTCCTGGTACAGCAGTCCCTCAGTTAATGAACGGTTCGATTAACGAAATTTCGGTTAACGAATTACCTCCCATAAGGATCTTCAGTTCGGTTAACGAACAAAACTTTGATTAACGAAATCCTTACGACAAACACGTTTTGTTGTGAGGATCAGCTGATGGGCTAGTCCGCCAATTCAGTAATCTGTTCTATGTTTACATTCGTTTCCAGTGGAGTAAATATCAAGAGGGTTGTGCTCTTCAATAATTTTGCATTTCTAATATTAAAATTATTAGTCATTTTAAAATTTAGTTAACATATTGATAATATATGCAGTACAGGGAACTAGTTTTTTGTGCGCCTATCAGCCTCTTGACTCACCCACCAGGTGTTAGTATGGCTTTGTTTACAGTGGAGTGAACATTGATTTTGTTGGTGTCTTGAATGCTTTTACATTTTTACATTAAAATTATTGGTCATTCTGAAATTTAGTTAACATATTGATAATATATAGCGCAGTGCAGTGTTGACTTAAATAAAATAATCTTGAATTACACCTAGTGAACTTAAAATTTTATTGGTGAAATTACTGCATCAAGCATGGGTCCCCAGGAAGGTGATTTCTTCTCCATCCCCACTTCCTTCCCTTCTCCTCTACCCCCACTTCTAATTCCCATCATCATCAACCAGGAACCTTCTACTTACTCGCCTCAAAGTAAATGTACTTTACTTTTTTTTTTTTACTTTGTATGTACTTTTCTGTGAGCTGGAACCAATTACCCAATATCCCATTGAAACAATGGCTTCGGTTAACGAAATTTTCGGTTAACTAATGACTCTGTGGAACGAATTGTGTTCGTTAACCGAGGGACCACTGTATCGGGAAATTTTTTGGAATTTTCCGGAAAATGTGCCCCCCGGAAAATCGTTCCCAAAGCCAAAATTTTCCGGAAAATTCTGACTTTGGGAATGATTTTCTGGGAAATTTCAATTCCGGCTGTCGGAGAGTTCTGGGTTTGAGGGATTCCTGCTAAGGGAGATATTTCTGTAGTTGACAAGATTGCCAGTGTCAATGCAGTATTTTTCTTTTATTTATTATTATTTTTATTTATTTTTCATACGCAAACCATCCTCTGTGACATATTCAGCTGCTTAGCCTAGCAATCACCAGGGATGGGCAGAACCTCCCACGCATCCCGCATGGGTCGCACATGTTAAGCCTTCCCATAAGGTTAATGTATGGTCAGGGTCAAAAGTAATCACCCACCACTCCTACTACCATACCCGCATGACGGGTCACAAGTGAGTCGAGGAGAGCTTGGGGTGGCGTACCCAGGTAAGGTAGGAGGGTGCAAGTCAAGGGCCACATACATAGTGAGATTGTATCTTGCTGGATGTAGGTTGATGTTGTCAGCCTTAATGACCCTGGCAGTTGATAGGCCTAAAGCCCAACCAACCAGGAGGATGGGTGTTCCAGAGAAGTGTCATATGGACTTAACTTTCTCCCCTTAGTTATCTACAGTAAGCCTTTATTTGAGATTCTGGGGAGGAATGTGAGTGAGCTTTTGGCAGGTAATGTGTCATTAGGGTTGATAAGGCATCTGGCTTCCATGAGGGAAAGACTCTCATATGACAACATAAGAGAGGAGGGGAAGTGGTTTTGTCACCACCATTAACACTAAACTAGGCTGTTATACTTGATCACTTCTGCCTCTCTCCACTACCGTTCTTAAAAAAAAAAAATAATCGATAAAAAAAAATAAGAATGAATTGTTGGATAGAATGTGACTTGTCCACCCTGTAATATGTTTATTAGAGTTGTGAAAATCAATGTAAGGTGATGAGGTGGTAGTGGCAATGGTATTTGGCCACTGCTCTGCACCCAGCTCAGGATGGACACTAAAGTAATGTAAACAAAGCATATTTGAAGTCTTAATTCCTTATTTCATGAGATTCTCTATGGTCTGTGTTATTATAAATATCTTAGGACCTTCAAAAATTGTAGATAAGGAAATGGATGGCGCATTATAATAATCATAAAATAATGATCCTCTTTCAAGCATATAAGTTAATCTATTGAAAAAAAAATTACATCCATCCTTCCCTTTCTTCATTCTTGAATTTCCCTCTTTTCTACAATCTCCTCCCTCTCAGATGAGCAATTTGCATTACATACCACCCTCCCATGGGGGTCCTAGGGTCCAGACCCCCCCCTTTTCATCAGAAAACTCCAACACTTTTTCTTTAATGCAGTATTGTGCTCAGGCATTTTTTATGTAGTTAAAGGTAATTACTATTGATCATAATATTTCCTAATATCATATGCACATGGCCTCAAAATGCCCCACCCACACCTTGGACGCCTCCCTTTTGATGTTCTTGGATCTGCCCCTGCTTCACCCCCAACAAACGACCCCCTTCCAAGTCGACCATTCCCCCTCCCCTCCCCATGTGACTTACCATGCAGAAAGGACCCAGCCAGGTGCGAAAATTAGGTGGTGGAGTGGATGATTACTTTTGACTGCGTCAGTACCAAAAGTTAAACAGTATTTTAATAATTTTTTTCAATTGTTAGGTAGTAAATTACAATAGTTATGTACAATTTATCATTAGTTAGATAAGCTAGTTTTGTTGTTGTTTGTGAACTAATTTTGCATTTTGAGGGTATTGTTTTCATTGGGAATTGAACCCTATTTTTTACCCATGTGTTTATCTGTGATACATAAATTCACCTTACATATGTTCTGTTTCGTTTTTTAACCTAACCCATTCATAGCTTGAGGGATACCTGTACTTATTATCAGCTCACATCACAATGTAATTGTTACATTTATTTATTACTATGTTATTTACTTTATTTTTACTGTATGTACATTTAAGAAATATTTGTTTGCACAGTAATTATAATAGAATATCTCATGTGGCAGCCAAAGCGTCGTTCTGGAGCCATTCGGATATTTCGCATTCATTCCAAATTCAAGTCTTTAATTCATTAAAAAAAAAAACATGCAAATTAAGCCAGAATCCAAATTATAATGATCTGAATTAACAAGGGAACAGTGTATACAAATTTAAATATTTACCCAAATAACCTAATTTGTTTTTGTTTTTTGTTTTTTTGCAGAATCACCTTGACTATATTATGGATATCCTGGTTTTTCACTCATCACGTCAGTCTGGAAAGAATCCTTGTTCAGTGAATAATGGTGGCTGTTCACACTTGTGTCTTGCTGTTCCAGCTACTAATGGTACCCATAATTTTACTTGTTCCTGTCCAACACACTACAAGCTAGATCAAGATGGGAAGACATGTAAAGGTACGTGAAATGAATGATAAGTATTGTAGGTTTTATAATTACCGTAACTCATTGGGTCTTTGGATATGATACAATATTTTTTTTTTATAGTTGCAAAAGTGGAGCATATCATGTTATGGCACAGTGCACCTGTCTATCCCTCAGTTAATCAGTTAATATATCTGTCTGTAGGGGCAGATCCAGGGTGGGTTCTCCTGGGGGTCTGGACCACCACATAAGGCTCACCCCTATTTCACAAGGATATTTTGTGGGTTTTTTTTTTTTTTTTTTACTTCATACAATTATTGAAAGTGATTTTAAAGTGGTTTTGTAGGGGGAAAACATATGATTTTGTGCATGTAAATACAATATACAGTAAAGCTTCCGATAACAATGGTTCGACCAACAACTTTTCATATTTAAGACCCAAGTTCATTTTGGACCCAATTCAATTTACGTCCTTATTTCATTCGTATTTACGACCAAAATATAATAAAAATTAAATAAAATTACATTTTCATATAGATAATAACTAAATCCTGATATGTATTATAAAAAAAATAAAAATTAATGTAAAAAAATGAAGAGCGCCTTGCACAAAGAAGCTGCCTGGCTAATGAGTAGTAAACAACATCCGGAGCTTGGCGGTCCTTTTGTTTTCACGCATCTGGAACAGGAACTGGAGAAAAACTTTCTTAAGTTTCTGACAGCCTTTTTGCATCCGTATTCAACATGAGCAAGAGAGCAAGTGATGGTAGTGTTGTTTCAAAAGCTATTAGAAAGTGTATAAGCTTAGCCGAGAAACTAGATGTGTTAAAACGATATGAAAAAGGTGAGAGGTCTATGGATATTATATGGAGCAAGCAATGAACATATTTTCTGAAATGGATCCATTAACAGAACTAAGCAATAAAATTTAGATAAATGCAAATGACCTCTACTTAAAGATGTATAATGAGAAAAGAAAGCAGCTGTGCAAGGTTCTTTCGAGAGCTTTATTATTCAAAGGCCTAAACCATCAACTTCAGCTCCACCATCAAATTCAGCATCATAAGCAGCTTCAACATCAACTTCAGGTTCAGTAACAGTTTCAGCAACAGCTTTATGGAAAGCTACAGCTTCAGCCAGAGTTGAACCTGATGACTTCGTCATCTGAGTAAAAACTCGCACATTATTCATTGACTGTCTTTGTTTTAGACTTTACCACCATTAGTGAGTGGAATTCTTGTTTTACATTCGTAAATATTATTTAAAACATATATGAACAGTAAATAAGTGTTGCTTTCATATTCATATGTAGAGAAATGACGATATGTTTTCACATGTACGCACTTACTGTTCATACTTTGGCGTTCCCAATCGTCTCACCTTATTTCTTTACCATTAGTGGTTAGCTACTTCTAGTGTTCCATTTATTAACATTAAATAATGTTACTTAAAACATACATACAGGTATTCAAATTTTTTAAATTAAATTCAATACAGCTACAACCAAGGTCTTATTTTCTTCAGTTTCTTATGGAGAACCATCATCACTCACAAAAACAATGCCGTCTTGCCTCCTCTTGTGTGTTATAATATTCTACATATTATTAATGATTTTCATTGTTCATTTCACACATATAAACATTAATTAAATCAAATACATATTAAGTAATAAACAATAATGAATCTTTTGTACATATTCTTAAGATAAATTACTGCTTCCTTGAGTGCACACGTATACATTGGCATTCCACTGTCACACTTTTTCTTTAAATAACATAAATTAAGACATACCGTATATCTCGGCTTATAAGACGGAATTTGAACATTAAAAAAATCTGCCCAAAGTTAGGGGGTTGTCTTAAGCACCAAGTATAAAATTTTTACTTCTTAAATATTGTGTGTCAAGAGTGGTGATGGAAACATGGTAAACCACTCACAAAGTCCTACCAGGGAAAGTGACCTTGACTGTGATCGCCTGTGGCTATTTTTAGCCGTCCTTGTGTTCGGAGGTGGTCAGTAATGCATATCTGTATATTTACTGATCATAATACTTATCTCCTATAAATAATTAATTTAAAATTTATTTTTTTACAAAGAATATTCAGTAAATGACTGCGTTAATTCTTGAAACTACCGACAGTGGTAAATTTAGGATATAAATGATGAACAGAAGTCACGTCATGGATTCGGAGTTTGGTCCTTAATGATCACCTACCAGTTATCTTGGTAGCTCCATTTTTCGCGAAACAAGTATATAAATTAAAGAAAATGCTTGCAGTGTGTTTAATGTATTACAGTATATTATAAATAAATAAATAAACAAATAAATCGGCAAATCTATTTCAAGTAAATGGAAATATTTTACTCACACCAACATTAGTTCTAATTAAATAACTGCCGCTTAAGTGTGTCACTAGTGTACACCAGCCGGTAAAATTTGATGCCAATACTTGAAGTGAATTAGCATTATTTTAAATAACCAACCATAAATAAATGGAAAAAAGATCAAAGGTGAGAAACATTATATTGTATGTATGTTGTGTTGTCAAAGGAAGAGAAACAATTGAAACTCTGCAATTGTGTGTAAATGAGGCAGAAAGATAAATCAGCAACCTAAGACTTGGTCACAATTTTCGTGATGCCATATGGAAGTAGGATCTACCATTAGACAATACTGTACATTATGCTTCCAATATCTTCCCAGGCAGTAGAATCTCCCTGTTTGGTAGCTGCCTAAAACTTTTAGTAATATTACTTTGATACAACATGATAAATTAGACAAACAATGAAAATAAACAAACAAAAGTTATTTACCAAGACCTCTCTGAGAACAGAGGGATGGAGGTGGAAGGAAGGAGGTTGAGATAAGACGGCTATTTATAGCCTGTCTTTGTGTAGGAAGTCGACCACACTAGAAATAATTAATTTTATTATGGTAGTGTTGTGAGGACGTGTGAGTGGTGTGGGAGGTTGTGATAGTGTTGTGAGGATGTGTAATTGGTGTGGGAGGCTGTGATAGTGTTGTGAGGATGTGTAATTGGTGTGGGGGGTTGTGGTAGTGTTGTGAGGATGTGTAATTGGTGTGGGGGGTTGTGATAGTGTTGTGAGGATGTGTAATTGGTGTGGGGGTTGTGGTAGTGTTGTGGAGATGTGTAATTGGTGTGGGAGGGTTGTGATAGTGTTGTGAGGATGTGTGGTGGTGTGTGGGGTTGTGGGTTGTGGTGTGAGGGCGTGTGAGTGGTGTGGGGGGTTGTGGTAGTGTTGTGAGGAGATGTGTGGTGGTGTGGGGGGTTGTGGCCCAGTGTTGTGAGGATGTATGGTGTGGGAGGTTGTGATAGTGTTGTTGAGGATGTGTAGTGGTGTGGGGGGTTGTGGTAGTGTTGTGAGGATGAGTGTGGTGTGGGGTTGTTGTGGTCTGTTGTGAGGATGTGTGGTGGTGTGGGGGGTTGTGGTAGTGTTGTGAGGATGTGTAATTGGTGTGGGGGGTTGTGGTAGTGTTGTGAGGATGTGAAATTGGTGTGGGGGGTTGTGGTAGTGTTGTGAGGATGTGTGAGTGGTGTGAGAGGTTGTGGTAGTGTCGTGAGAATGTGTGAGTGGTGTGGGGGTTGTGGTAGTGTTATGAGGATTTGTAAGTGGTGTGGAGGGTTTTGGTAGTGTTGTGAGGATGTGTAAGTGGTGTGGGGGGTTGTGGTAGTGTTGTGAGGATGTGTAAGTGGTGTGCGGGGTTGTGGTAGTGTTAGAGGATGCTGTATGAGTAGTGTGGGGGTTTTGTGGTACAGTTGTGAGGATGTGTGGTGGTGTGGGGGGGGTTGTGATAGTGTTGTGAGGGATGTGTAATTGGTGTGGGGGTTGTGGTGGTGTTGTGGGGATGTGTAATTGGTGTGGGGGTTGTGATGGTGTTGTGAGGATGTGTGGTGGTGTGGGGGTTGTGTGGTGTTGTGAGGGATGTGTGGTGTGTGGGGGGTTGTGGTAGTGTTGGGATGTGTGGTGGTGTGGGGGGTTGTGAGTAGTGTTGTGAGGATGTGTGGTGGTGTGGGGTTGGCTGTGTGGTAGTGTTGTGAGGGATGTGTAATTGGTGTGGGGGGTTGTGGTAGTGTTGTGAGGATGTGTGGTGGTGTGGGGGGTTGTGGTAGTGTTGTGAGGATGTGTAATTGGTGTAGGGGTTGTGGTAGTGTTGTGAGGATGTGTGTGGTGGTGTGCATGGGGTTGTGGTAGTGTTGTGAGGATGTTATGAGGTGGAAGGGGTTGTGGTAGTGTTGTGAGGATGTGTAATTGGTGTGGGGGTTATGGTAGTGTTGTGAGGATGTGTAATTGGTGTGGGGGTTGTGGTAGTGTTGTGAAGATGTGTAATTGGTGTGGGGGTTGTGGTAGTGTTGTGAGGATGTGGTGGTGTGGGGGTTGTGGTAGTGTTGTGAGGATGTGGTGGTGTGGGGGGTTATGGTAGTGTTGGCGGATGTGTATGGTGGTGTGGGGGGGTTGTGGTAGTGTTGTGAGGATGTGTAATTGGTGAAGGGGGTTGTGGTAGTGTTGTGAGGATGTGTAATTGGTGAAGGGGGTTGTGGTAGTGTTGTGAGGATGTGCTGGTGGTGTGGGGGTTGTGGTAGTGTTGTGAGGATGTGTGGTGGTGTGGGGGGTTGTGGTAGTGTTGTGAGGATGTGGTGGTGGGGTTGTGGTAGTGTTGTGAGGATGTGTGGTGGTGTGGGGGGTTGTGTGGTAGTGTTGTGAGGATGTGAATGGTGTGGGGGTTGTGGTAGTGTTGTGAGGATGTGTGGTGGTGTAGGGGTTGTGGTAGTGTTGTGAGGATGTGTGGTGGTGTGGGGGTTATGGTAGTGTTGTGAGGATGTGTAATTGGTGTGGGGGTTGTGGTAGTGTTGTGAGGATGTGTAATTGGTGTGGGGGTTATGGTAGTGTTGTGAGGATGTGTAATTGGTGTGGGGGGTTGTGGTAGTGTTGTGAGGATGTGTAATTGGTGAAGGGGTTGTGAGTAGTGTTGTGAGGATGTGTAATTGGTGAGAAGGGGTTGTGGTAGTGTTGAGGATGTATGTGGTGGTGTGGGGGTTATGGTAGTGTTGTGAGGATGTGTGGTGGTGTGGGGGTTGTGGTAGTGTTGTGAGGATGTGGTGGTGTGGGGGTTGTGGTAGTGTTGAGGATGTGTAATTGGTGTGGGGGTTGTGACGGTGTTGTGAGGATGTGTGTGGTGGTGTGGGGGGGTTGTGTGGTAGTGTTGGCAGGGGATGTGGTAATTGGTGTGGGGGTTGTGGTAGTGTTGTGAGGATGTGTAATTGAGGTGTGGGGGGTTGTGGTAGTGTTGTGAGGATGTGGTGGTGTAGGGGTTGTGATGGTGTTGTGAGGATGTGTAATTAGTGCTGGGGGGGTTGTGTGTTGTGAGGATGTGTAATTGGTGTGGGGGTTGTGGTAGTGTTGTGAGGATGTGGTGGTGTGGGGGGTTGTGGTATTGTTGTGAGGATGTGTGGTGGTGTGGGGTTGTGTGGTGTTGTGAGGATGTGGTGGTGTGGGGGGTTGTGGTAGTGTTGTGAGGATGTGTGGTGGTGTGGGGGTTGTGGTAGTGTTGTGAGGATGTGTGGTGGTGTGGGGGGTTGTGGTAGTGTTCATGAGGATGTGTAATTGGTGTGGGGGTTGTGGTGGTGTTGTGAGGATGTATGGTGGTGTGAGGGGGTTGTGATAGTGTTGTGAGGATGTGTAATTGGTGTGGGGGTTGTGGTAGTGTTGTGGGGATGTGTGGTGGTGTGGGGGGTTGTGGTAGTGTTGTGAGGATGTGTGGTGGTGTGGGGGTTGTGGTAGTGTTGTGAGGATGTGTAATTGGTGTAGGGGGTTGTGATAGTGTTGTGAGGATGTGTAGTGGTGTGGGGGTTATGGTAGTGTTGTGAGGATGTGTATGGTGGTGTGGGGGTTGTGGTAGTGTTGTGAGGATGTGGTGGTGTGGGAGTTGTGGTAGTGTTGTGAGGATGTATGGTGGTGTGGGGTTGTGGTAGTGTTGTGAGGATGTGGTGGTGTGGGGTTGTGGTATTGTTGTGAGGATGTGTGAATTGGTGTGGGGGTTGTGGTAGTGTTGTGGGGATGTGTGAGGCTGGTGTAGGGGGTTGTGATAGTGTTGTGAGGATGTGTAATTGGTGTGGGAGGTTGTGGTAGTGTTGTGAGGATGTGTGGTGGTGTGGGGGGTTGTGGTAGTGTTGTGAGGATGTGCTGGTGGTGTGGGGGGTTGTGTGTGTGTGAGGATGTGTGGTGGTGTGGGGGTTGTGGTAGTGTTGTGAGGATGTGTGGTGGTGTGGGGGTTGTGGTAGTGTTGTGAGGATGTGTAATTGGTGTGGGGGTTGTGGTAGTGTTGTGGTTTGGTGGTGTGGGGGGGGTTGTGGTAGTGTTGTGAGGATGTGTAATTGGTGTGGGGGTTGTGAGTATTGTTGTGAGGATGTGTAGTGGTGTGGGGGTTGTGGTAGTGTTGTGAGGATGTGTAATTGGTGTAGGGGTTGTGGTAGTGTTGTGAGGATGTGTAGTGGTGTGGGGGTTGTGGTAGTGTTGTGGGGATGTGTAATTGGTTGTGGGGGTTGTGGTAGTGTTGGCGGGGATGTATGGTGGTGTGGGGTTGTGGTGTGTTGTGAGGATGTGTGGTGGTGTGGGGGGGTTGTGGTAGTGTTGTGAGGATGTGTGGTGGTGTGGGGGTTTGTGGTAGTGTTGTGAGGATGTGTGGTGGTGTGGGGGTTGTGGTAGTGTTGTGAGGATGCTGTATAGCAGGTAGTGTGGGGGTTTATGAGTGGTGTGGGGGGGTTGTGGGGTGGTGGGGTGAGTCATAACCACACCACCCTCACACACTACCTCTTTCTCATCACCATCCAACACTACCAGCGTCTGCACACACCTCCTCATTATTAACACCTATACTGGAGTTGATTGGGATCAGGTGCTGTGTACATCGATGTATTTCTGCCTGACACTGAATCGTCATCAACCTCTAGGGTCCAGGATAATATTAGCCCTGGCAGGCTCTCTCTTAAAGTGCATTAAGGTGATTGAATTTGGCGTCATCTAATCCCTAACTTCATAATGGAGTTGTCAAGGCTTCACTGTAATTACAATCTCCAGTTTTTTATTTAGTTTATTCAACTGGTATTATATCTACAAGGTTATTTAACCAGGCGTGGACATTTCTTTTGTAAAGTCACATGTAGTATGAAATACAATATTTCAGTATATGAGCATCATGTTGAGATAGGTGACAGTCATTAGTGGGGCAGCTAAATGCAATTTTTCAAGAATCATGAAAATGGTGGTACAAGCACCAAATTTGGCATGGTAATTCTCTAATGGTTATAGTCAAGTCTGCCTGATTGGCCATTTAAAATTCAAGATGGCGACCATTTTTCAAGATGACCGCCATATTGGCGTTCAAAAGTTGATTTTTCTTATAGAAATTGATGTAGTTGGTCAATCTGGGTGATCTTGGTGTCGATATGTATTGTTTTCAAGCATGCTCAGTTCTTTTTTATAGTTTTAAGTCCATTGTAACATTTTTATCCACATAAAATAACACTTTTAGTAAAAATATAACAAAAAGAGAACTTACTAAAAAAAGTCACGGTAAACAGTGGGACACAGTCCACCACGAGACGAGGTAACATCCATACCACGATCGTCTGTTATGAAGCAAGCATATAAATTAAAGAAAATACTTGCAGTGTGTTTAATATGTTTACAGTGTATTATAAATAAATAAATAAACAAACAAATCGGTAAATCCATTTCAAGTAAATGGAAATTTATTCAACACCGACATTAGTTCCAGTTACGGTAAATAGCAGGCGCTTCAGTAATACTAGTGTTTTACACTACCAGCGAGGTAACATTTGATGACATTACTTGAAGTGAATTGGCCTTATTTTAAAAACCAAGGATGGTTGGTAGGGGACTACTGAGTCAGTGGGTAAGTGTCACATTTGGGGTACTGGTCTTATACAGCGAATAGAGCTCAAGGGCTACTTTTAAATGGAAATTTGGGGGAGCGTCTTATGCACCCGGCCTTAAAGGCGAGATATCTGGTACATATTTTTTTTACTTATTTTACTACAACAACAACCAGGGTCTTATTTTCTTCAGTTTCACGTGGGTAACTGACATTTCGGGTGTAAACACTTACAATGCCGTCTCTTATCCTCTTGTGTGTTTTAATATTCTATTTATTATTAATGAATTGTTTTGTTCATTTCGCATATATAAAGATTAATTCAATCAAATACATATTCAGTAATAAACAAATGAATCTTTTGTACATATTCTTAAGATAAATGACGTGGTATCCTTATATGCGTTGCGTATATGTTGGCGTTCCCAATCCATCTCTTTTTTTTCTTTGCCATTAGTGGTTAGCTACTTCTATTGTTCCATTTATTAACATTAATTAACATTACTTAAAACATATATAATCATTTTTTTTTTACATTAATTTTATTACAGCTACAACCATAGTCTTATTTTCTTAATTTTCTCGTGTAGAACCATCGTCCCGGACTCCCGGCTGTAAACACAAACGAAAACAATGGCATCCCATCTCCTCTTGTGTGACCACATTATTATTCATTTATATTGTATAAGGTGCAATCAGAAACATTATTTAAAGAATATAGTTTGCAATTTTCATTAATTGTATTGTTTTGGGGGGAAAAGAGGGTAAAAAGCCACACAAAAGATATAAAAAGGTCACACTTGGGAACGCATCTCATTATACTAACCTAACTCTACCTCTGATCAGAGCAGCAGTGTGGCTTGTTTATATTTTGGTCAAGAGAATTACCGACAGGATGTGAAACTCGTATTTTTAACTGCGATGTATTTTGTTGCCATGATCGGCCACCAGGGTGTAGCACATCGCTATTGTTTTGGCGTCATCGACACATTGCAAATGGGTGACTGGAGGCTGAACTTTCTGTTCACATTTCTTTAATCTTTCTAGGGTCATTTTTCATTTAGATAATAAACAAATGTTTCTTAAAGGTAATACAGTTATTAAAGACATGTATCTGGTGTGGGTTACGTATGCTGGGGAAGGAGGTACAATGAGATGTTGTGAGCTTCCCTCTGCCGTTAAGCCATTATTTATGTCTTCAGCAAATTTGTCTCAAGTTTGTGATAATAGATTGTGATAATTTGGCTTGTTTTTCAGTATTTTATTATTAGTAATATAAGTAAAAAAAAATTTTGTGCTTAGTGGACTACTGCTCGTCCCAGACTCCCTAGCTAGGCACCTCCGACTATGGTGCTCGGCCTCCCATCAGTAATACGAGCGTATTAGACGCAGGATAATTGGGGATACATTGAAAAAAAATAAAATGGGTCTTATACGCCGGCAAATACTGTATGTACAGTATATTGGTTTCAGAGTGTGTGCGCGCGCGCGTGTGCTAGCAGGTGTTATTGCTTTTTCATGTGGTACAATAAATAAGTCATACTTTGTACTTGTATTATTTAGCATAATTCTATGCTTATTTTATTTTAATTTCATTGACAAAATATTACTAATATAATTCATTTTTCTTTTGAACAGCCCCTACATCTTTTCTGTTATTCAGCCAGAAGACAGAAGTTAGTCGCCTGGTTGAGGATGTTAATGAGTGCCCTACACTCATACTTCCCATTCACAGCATGCGCAATGTCCGTGCTATTGACTATGACCCAATAGATCAACTGGTATACTGGGTGGATGGTCGTGTGGGCTCACTCCGTCGTGCACATCACAATGGCACACGTGGTGAAGTGTTCGTAAGCAATTCTTTAGAGAAAATATACCCTTATGATATAGTTGTAGACCCATTCACTAGAGTTCTATTCTGGTCTTGTGCAAGAAACAATATCATTAACGTTACCAAGCTTGACGGAACGGAAGTTGGTGGCATCATTGGGCATGAAGGCGAGGACCAGCCTCGCTCATTAGCTGTCCATCCAGTACTTGGTCTTCTTTTCTTCACCAACTTAGTCAGTCCACCACTAATTGAGCAAGCTCATATAGATGGCCTGCAACGTCGCAAGATCATCACAGAGGGCCTAGAGAATCCATTAGCTCTGGCTGTGGATGTAAAGGACAACTTTCTCTTTTGGGCAGACACAACTACAAAGCGCATTGAAACTGCAACAATCACTGGAGAGAACAGGTAATGAGTTTGTTTATTTTTATTACAAATGGCTTGAAGTCTGTCAGTATTTACTACATAATTGTTTTAGTCCATTTTGATGAATTCCTGCTTTGGTTAGCCATCCCTTATCAGCCACCCCATTGTCTGTGCATAAATTTGTACTAATTTTTTTTTTTTTTTTTTTTTTTTTATAATCTGATACTAGCTCAACTTTGCTTAAACTTTTTAAGAATATTCCTTGCATGGTTTGTTTTCAGATTTGTGTCCAATACAATATCAAAATTTGTACTTCAAAGCAAGGTGTTGTGAGCAGATGATTCTTTGTAGAGTATGACTCCCTACTCTTTGAGTCTCCAGATGTCAGAGACCACAAGCAATGCTCAAACCAAATAATTGAAGTTGATAAAGCCAGGAGATTATTTTGTTAGCAACATAGCCCTGATTATTATACTTCTTTCTGTCTTAGTGATATTATTGATATAGTTCGTGGTCTTCACTCAACTTACGGTATCTTTACGTTTTAAGTGAACTAACAACCAAAGATTTAATAATTTTTTTATACCGTATTGGTGCAGGGAGTCTTTGCTGTACGTTTTACCTATACACGGTATTTCACATATACTTCGCTAACAAGTATAAGAAGAAATTTTCGGTAGTACGTCAATTGTTTCAGTACTATCAGACATATGTCATCTGCATCATCCATTATTTTATACCAAGTCTATGTGTACCTGAATATGATGCATAAATAGCAGTAAACGCACTTAATATAATGTAAATATAACCATGATAAGTAATAAAAGTGCTCTACAAGTGTTAAGTTTCTACCACTCCAAAATATGTCAGTCACCCCTCACACGATTGAGCACTCATGCTATTGTTGTGTGTTACTTAACCACACAGTTTGTTGAAAAGTTATTTCAATGTGATAGTTTGCCTTATAAATGAAGAGAACACTGTATTCTACACAAATATAAGGATATAAGATAAGGAAAAAATAAGTCTAGAAATAACCATAACACATGTTCACTTATTAGCTGTGAGAAGGCTGTGGATGTGCTATTTTTTATTTTATTTTTTTTATTTTTTTTATTTTTTTTATTTTTTTTTATTTTTTTTTTTTTTTTTGGGGGAGGATTAGCCCATCCGGGCACAGGTCACTAACCCACATTGGGGCCTGGGGGGCGAAAATGTAATAATAATAATAATAAAAATAATATTAATAATAATAAAGAACCATAAAGAAATATAAAATGAAAAAAAAGATCAAGAGTGAGAAACAATATGTGTTTGTTTTGTTGTCAATAGTAAGAGAAACAATTGAGACCCTGCAATTGTGTGTAAATGAAGCAAAAAGTCAATTCAGCAACCTGGGACTTGGTCACAATTTTTGTGATGCCATATGGCAGCAGGGTCTACCATTAGACAATACATTATGCTTCCAATATCTTCCCAGGCTGTAGTACCTCCCTGTTTGGTAGCTGCCTAATACCTCTAAGAAACCATAAAATTTATGTCAATATCATTTCAATGCTATAATGCAACTCAGAAATAAGGAAAATGAACTATAAAATAAGAAAATTAAGAGTGGGAAGTCAATTGTGTGGGAGGAAAGGAGGGTGGGTGGCTGGACAGCTCCACCCTTGACCCCATCAATATGTCCGTATGCATTTTCACCATAATGCTCATGTAATTTATGTTCATTTGGTGCCAGATTCATAAAATATTATCCTAAAATAATCTATTTTTCCTGAAAGAAAATCCCATGCCCAATGCTAGATGAACTATTGCATTGTTTTAAATCCCCAGTGCTTGTTTACAAAGCCAACCAGCTGACCGTCATCAGCAGCCTTTCTCGAGCAGTTTTGCCAATGCTCTAATTTTCTCATGCATCTCTGCTGTCACTGCTCAAGATAATTGGTGCTTCCCACAACAACAATCTTTAACACTTAGTAAATAATAATATATAGTATTTATCAGCACTTAATAAATAATACACAGTGGCTCTTAAGCCATCACCGATTGCATAACTCGGTAGTCTACACATCCAGACAGCTTCATAGACAGCCAGGCTATTCAGCCATGCACCAATAAATATATTAACACTCGAGTTTAAGGAGGTGCTTTACAGTGAGACGCTCGGTGTATGGCCCATCACTAACCTCACCACACAAGAGATAATTGTACGTAGTGTATCATAGCAAGCTTGGTATTTGAGATAAAAAGAGTGGTGTTTGTTGCATTAGCATTGTAAATAAATTATCTACAATACAAGCAGTTTATACATCACTTTATACCTTTGTTATTTCATGTTATTGTAATATGAACCTTATTATAAAGCATACATGGTTAGCAAAAAATAGTTTTACAGTAGAAGAAAAGTAATGAATACTTAATGTTTTGCTCGGTAATAGTGCTGTAAATTGTGCGTTCTGATGAGCCAAGTACAGATTAATAATTTTTTCCCTCCGAGCACAAAAGATAATTGTACATATTGAGTCATAGCAAGCTTAGTGTTGGAGATAAAAAGGTTAGGTTTGTTGCATTAGCATTGTAAATACAGTAATGTACTGTATTGTTTTATATAGGTAATCAAAATAAAATTATTAAATCAATAGTAAGCGCAAGTACAACAAATTATAGTGCATGGCTGCAACTCAAGCTTCCAAATGCATATATTCCTCGCTCAAAGTTTTTATATTTTTTACATAAATTATACATAAAGTGTTTGTAAATGCTTATTATTTAAGAAATTCATATGAAATAATAATTTTAAGTTATTGGTTAAATGTAATGCATAGAAATATTATTAATATATATATATATATATATATATATATATATATATATATATATATATATATATATATATATATATATATATATATATATATATATATATATATATATATATATATATATACACATACACACAGTGACCCCTCGGTTAACGAACTCAATCCGTTCCAGAAGGTCGTTCGTTAACCAAAACCATTGTTTCAATGGGTTTTTGGGTAATTGGTTCCAGCTCACCGAAAATTTCCTAAATTCAACAAAAATGGTAGAAAAGTTCACTTACTTTGAGGTGTGTATGTAGAAGGCTCCTGGATGATAATACTGATGTGCATTTGAAGTGGGAGGTGGAGGAGGAGAAGGGAGAAGAGAAGGAAGTGGAGGTGGAGGAGAAGCATTTTACTGCTTCTTGGAAGGTGAGTCACCTTCCATGAAAATGTCAGGAACCTCTGGACTGACAGATTCTCCACCATGAACATCCTCTCTCCTTCTTGAAGTGGAAGGCTGAGGGATAGCATCTTGTTCCCTCTGCCTTTTACTGAAGAAAGTGTCAATTGTGGTCTGTGGGGCATCTCTCCTCCTCACCATTAACTTATGTTTAAAGAAGGAGACCACTGAGTCCTCAACATGACACAAAGTTAGTTCAGTTTTTTCCACATCTGGGTGCTTTGAAGCCAGTTCCCTGAACTTCTCCCAGTAGTAAATCACATCTTTCAACTGTTTAGCTGACATATGGTCATCACTTTCAATTTCCTCCTCACCATTGTCAGCCTCTACTTGTAACATCTCCTTCAGTTGCTTCAAGTCATCAGGAGTAAGTTCCTCCTCATGAGACATCACAAGCTCTTCCACATCCTCCTCCTCCACTTCAAGGCCCAATGACTGACCAATGGACACAATCTCCTGATCCAACTCTGTTTCTTCCTCAAAATCATGGACTACTGATGGCCACAGTGCTTTCCATGAAGAATTGAGGGATCTAGTGGAGACTTCTTGCCATGATGACACAATCAATATTACAGCCTCCAGGATGTTGAATTGTGTCTTCCAGAACTGTTTCAGTGTTAGTTCAGGATCATTGGAAGTTGCCTGATGACACCCCCTAAACATTTTCTTCATGTACAACTTCTTGAAGTTGCTGATCACATTCTGGTCCATTGGCTGTGTGATTGATGTAGTGTTTGGAGGCAAAAACAACACTTTCACAAAGTCAAATTGATACTCCAAATTGCTGGCAAGGTCAGGGTCATGACCAGGAGCATTATCCATGAGGAGAAGAGCCTTTAAAGGGAGTTTATTGGTGGTGAGGTATCTCTTGACAGAAGGGCAAAACACATCAACAGCCCATTCATTAAAGAGCTGTCTTGTCACCCATGCCTTACAGTTGGACTTCCAATAAACTCCAAGTTTTGTTCTTACCACTTTCTGTTGCTTGAACACCCTGGGGTTTTCAGAGTGGTAGGCAAGCATAGGGTTCAGTAGGAAATCCCCTGAAGCATTGGCACCAAGCAATAGAGTGAGATGGTCTTTCATGGGTTTATGCCCAGGTAAAGAGGCTTCATCTCTGGTGATGAATGTTCTTTTGGGCATCTTTTTCCAGAACAGCCCAGTTTTGTCCACATTGAACACTTGCTGTGGAAGATAATTCTCTTCTTCCATCAGTTTTTTAAATTCAACTAAAAACTTTGCTGTCCCTTCCTTATCAGCACTAGCAGCCTCATCATGCCTAACAACACTTAAAATGTCACTTCTTTTCTTAAATTTTTCGAACCAGCCTTTGCTGGCCCGAAAATCTTCAAATTCTGTGCCTGAAGAACCAGGTTGATCTGCCTTTAAATGTTCATAAATCTCCTTGGCTCTTTCACAAATGAAATCACCAGAAATTGAATCACCTTGCATCTGTTTTTCCCTAATCCAGATGATAAGTAACCTCTCAGTTTCTACGATTTGGGATCTACTTTTAAACACACTTGTAGATTTGTCTCTCACTTTCACTTCTTTAAATTTGTCTTTCTGTGCAAGAATTGTCAACACAGTTGATGCTGACATGCCATATTCTTTGCTAAGCACATTTGATTTAATGCCTTGTTCATGTTTTTTTATGATTTCCTGCTTGGTTTGGATTGAAATAGATTTTCTTGATCTCTTAGGCCCCATGCTGGATTCAAACAATGTCAACACGTGTTTTTCAAAGTTAAACTAGCTGTAAATAAAGAATATTTTCT